GAGCCTGGGGACTGCTCGCGGGTCGGGTTTCCAGCCGGCTCAGGTGGGTTTTTGCCCGGGCCCCGCCTCTGCCTCCCTCACAGGTGAGTTTAGTTCCAGGCCCTACAAGCAGTGCCCACACCCCGCAGTTCCGCCTCCGCCCAGGTACGCTCCACCGTCGCGGGTTACCGGGAGCCGCACCTCGCTCGCCCCTTCCGAGGTGAGCAGGTGGGTGTTTTTTACCTCACCTGGTAGACTCAGTCTCGCCTTTCCTCTCAGTCCGGGTCATGGGACTCCAGCTCCTCCTCTCCAAGGTGAGTGGCGGCCCCGGACTGCCTCTGAGTGGCTCATACCTGGCTCAGGTACCACCTTCTCTTTCGCCTTCCAAGTGACTGGATTTCCTGGGCCAGTCTCCCGAAATCAAAAGGCGCTCCGGCCTCCCCTGCTGAGGGCTTGCACCATGGTCCGGGAGGCTTGAAGATTTCAGGTTGTTAATCCCCTGTTATTTGCGGGGAAAAGGTGACTCTAGACCATTTTGTCTTTTAAGTTAGCTTCAGAAAACCCTTTCGCCCAGCTTTCAGTCTCAAGTTGGGAGTGTCCGGGGAATTACGTTGTGATAAATCTGTTTCGAATTCAACGCCTGTGTTCAAATTTTAGCTTTTTTTTTTTTTTTTTTTTTTTTTTTTTTAAGGGAAAATGATTTTCTGGCCAGATCACCCAGTCTGGCTGTATAACTAGGAAATGTGGAAAGTTCTCTAAAAATAAAATGATCCTTAAAAAGAATCAAAGGCTGGAGAGGTTCAGAGCCTTTAAATAACTCTCTAGCTGGTGGAGAAACCAAGAAAGGAAGAAATGTGCTGGACTACATGTGATTTTGTTTTCTTTTCAGATTATTTGCCTGACTAGAGAAAGGCCCAATCCAAGGTCCCAGGAGACCTAGCTGCTATCCACAAAGAAATCTGGAGTGTCTGGCCTAAGGAGGTGAACTACAAGAATTTATAGGACTCAAATTAGCTCCCTAGGTTGTGTGGGATTCTGGCTTGCTTTTTTTAAAATCTAGGTTGGTATAACATATACCAAGGGGGTATTGGGACATTCTGATTTCTTACTAAATCTTCCCTAGGTATTGTGTTCTTGCTTCTCCTCCAGCTTGTAAAATGCAAGTAATACAAATGTTTTCTCTATTACACTACACCTAGCATAATATAGTGTGTTCAGGAGTCATTCAAAACCCACCGAAACTTGGAAAGTTAAAATGCGTATTAAATTGAACAGAGGAATTTTGTTAGCATCTTCCAGGTATTCAGTCCTATGCTAATTAGACAAAAAAGGACCTTTGACCTCAAGGCATTTGCAGTCTGATAGGGGACATATTAGGAGTAAGAAGCAAAATAACCAATAATATCTATTTATCATAGGGTGTAATTAAGTATCAAATTGCACTCTATAAGTCACACTAAAATTAAAAAGTAATATTGTTTTAATACTGGAACATTGATTCCATGTTGTTAAATGAATGCAAGTTGGAAACTTTAGGTATTAGAGAAGACTGAGGGAAATTCAAGTGACTTGAATTTCAATTCCCTCACTTCTTATCATACCCCAAGAGAGGAAGTTCCAAAATTCTCAACAAGTTCCCATAGTGTGATTCAGTCTCCATTCACCATTTTTTTCAATAAAGAATAAATAGTTCTTTGTATCATTATGGTTGAGTTCCACCCACCCCTGTATCATTGAATCACTAGTCCACAAAACTAGCCTCTAGGAAGGAATTCAGTTTTCACAACTTTAGTAGTTTTTTTTTTTTTTTTTTGAGAGAGAGTTGTCTCCCTCAGTTGTCCAGGCTTGTCTCAAACTCTTGAGCCCAAGAGATCCTTCTGCCTCAGCTTCCCAAATTGTTGGGATCATAGGTGTGAGCCATCACACCAAGCCTATCTGGTAAATCTTAAGTCTTTTTCTAGTAGATCACCACCACACCCTAAAAGTGCAAGCCCCATTCTTGAGCTCAGAGCCTTTCCTCCTTTTCTCCTATCCTTGGATGACCTAAAGGTACTAGTTTATTCATTCCGTGACAGATTTTCAAAGTCAAAAGAGAATGTTTAAAGACAAGGAATGGTCAACAGAGTTAAACACAGCTGAGGGTTCAAGTGAGATAAATGAAAAGGAACTATGGGGTTTGACTTTTGTGGGAACACTTTGGGTGGTTTGTGTGGCAGGAATCAAGTTATCATCAGGTGCAGGGAAGGGGAAGTAGATAGCAAGATAGGAAGACACTCTTTTTTTTTTTTTTTTTTTTTTTTTTAGAGATGAGGTCTTGCTGGGCATGGTGGCTCGCCTATAATTCCAGCACTTCGGGAGGCCAAGGCAGGAGGATCACTTGAGCCCAGCAGTTTGAGACTAGCCTGGGCAATATAAGGAGATGTTGTCTCTACAAAAAATTTAAAAAATGATCTGGGTGTGGTGGCATGTGCCTGAGGCCCCAGCTACTCAAGAGGCTGAGGTGGGAGGATCGCTTTAACCAGGGATGTCAAGGCTGCAGTGAGTTCTGATTGCACCACTGTACTCCAGCCTGGACAACAGAACAAGACCCTGTCTAAAAAAAAAAAAAAAAAAAAAAAGAGACTGAGGTTCAAAAGGAGAAAGCCCATTTTTAGAAATCTGTGGAAAGGGAAGGAGAAAGGCAAGTGATAACTGTCTAGAAGAGCATGTATCCTAAAGGAAAGGCTTCTTTTATAGAGGTCAGAGAAGTGTTTATTCTGAGAGAAAAAGATAATCGTGTAGATGAGGATGAAAAGAGGGGTGGCAAGCTCAGTGATGGTTCAAAGGCAGGAGCAGGCTGGAGATGCTGATCCACCAGCCAGACCCACTGGTTTCAGATAACAGGTGCAGGGTTATCTCACCTCTGAAACAAGAGGGCAGGGTGATAAAAATGCCCTCTGCAGAATGCAACTGGGCATTGGGCTCCCGCACCTCAGGCTGGGAGAAAGAAATGACTGAGTGTGACCAGCATATGGTGGTTTTCAGGGCAGATGAATTTGAAAGATAAAAAATTCGAGGTATTGCAGTCCTTGTGGAGGGGTAGCTAAAGTGATGCACCTTAGTAGTTAATCTGAATGGCGAAGAAAATGAAACCAATCCTGTGGATCAAAAGAAAAAGAAGATACTGGTAGATTGGCAGTCCTAATGATGTTAATTGGCAAGTGCCGTGAAAACTGGGAGGAAAAAGTACTGGTATGAGATGGGGTGTTAAAGATCTTGAAGGTGAAGCTGTACCAAGGTCCACATATACACTATATTTCCCCTTCCAGCTCATAAGTTCCGAGAGGTGGAAGACTGATACAGATATATGTTGTCACGTTCCTCAGAGTTCACTATGTAAGGAAGGTTCAGATCTCATGTCTCTCATTTTATTACACATGTTGTGATGTATTAAAGGACACTTGGATCATGTAAACTCTTTAATACCAGTAAAATAAGAAACAAGTTCACTCTAAACAATTCTTTTTTTGGTATCAGTATTATTAAGAACTCAAAGGAAAAGAAAAAAGGCATTTCTAGTCCAAATACTGCTAAAATTACTTCATTTTTTTTTCATTTTATCTCCCAAACTTTATCCATGTAAATATGTAATTTTTAATAGGTTGTAATTAAGATATATACACAATTATTCTAGCTGTCAAATTACCTCATTTTGGAATGAGATGAAGATTGAAATAAATATTTTCTATGTTCCTTAATGGTGCCATAATTCATAGGTCTATCATATTTAACTGTTGTTGGACATGTAGGTTATATCCAGTTTTTCAGTATTCCAAAGAATATGATAGTGACCATCTTTTTTACATATAACACTTTTTTTTTAAAAACTTTGTGTCTCCCTTTCCCCCTAACGTTTTCTTTCAGATTTTTTTCTTTAGGATAAATTTCTAAAAGTAGGAAAGGGACTTAAAGGTCAAACTCTTTAAAAATACATATTGCTAGAGTCATATTTACACTGCGACACCAATGTATATACTTTGATACTTTCACTAAAAATTTGCCAACAAAACGAAGAGCTAACCACAGAATATATTTAGTCTATGCCAATAAACTCTCAGATATTAGGAGAATAGTATAGGATAGGGGAAAGAATGCTGGCCCAACCTTAAGGAAGTTCAGATTGTACCCTGAAAGTTCCTTAGGATATAACTATGTGACCTTGGTCAATTTGCTTAACTTCTCTGTTCTCATAATTGCTTATCGGCAATCATATCTGCAAAATGATTGTTAGTGTGTCTTTTTTTAAGCAAAGATTTTTGTTCCTCGTCTTCCTTACAATGACTCACTGAATAATAGCTATCATTTATTGAGTGC